ATATATATATATATATATATATATATATATATGAAAGGGATATTTTAGACTTGAAAAAAATAATTTTTTGCTTCTGTTTCTGCATTTTTTAAGAAGCGGAAATTTTTAGCTTCTTCCCAACAGCAGAAAAATTGCTTCTGCTTCCATTTAAAAGCAGTTTTACAGATTTGCCAAATATCTAATTTTTAAAAAAATAAATATTTTTGAGCTTCCAACAATAATGTTAAGCAGGCTCTTAACTATTTTCATATAGAACTAACATTATATTTTAGAGTTTGATCACCCATAAAATCTGGCACAATTGGTTCCATATTATTATAAAATATGCTCCCTTTTTGTTTGGCATTTAGTTGCTTAGTCCTTTCCAACTAATTAGCCTTTGTCTTAATCATCTATCATTGCCACCATTATCTTCCTAACCATTAGATAATTATTATGTGTACTTAAAAATGTAGATTATAATATTCTGAATTTAACTTGTGTACACATTGAATGTTCTTTTATAATTAATATAAAATTTACATTTTAAACTAATAAGACTACTGAATTTGGTTGAATTCATATGTCGATTTCTAACTCTGCTCGATGTCTATTCATCTTTTTTCAAAGACCAATACATGAGATCTCTTAAAATGAACAATTTCCTATAGGTTATACGTGTGTACATAAAATTTGTGACTTTTTTATTTGGGCATAATACATAAATATCTACTTATGCACATCTAAAGTAAATGGCATAGATGTCAGTTGAGATCAACTTAAAAGACACATTTACGTATCTTTATTCTATTTGTTAGTGAATGAATAAAGAAGCATATTCTTTTGAATTTTTTTATTTTTCTTTTAAAAAAAGATTATTACAAAGAAAAAAGAAAGTATAATACATCCTTAATATCCAAGAAGTTTTATGTATTTTAGAAAAAAATAAAAAGCATTTACTGAATGCATATGTTGTCCTTTTCTATTTCTTTTCTCAAAGGTGATATTGTCTAAAACACAAGGGACCACTAAATATATATGTCTTAAAATTTAACTCGATAAAATTTACTCGCATCAAATATTTATATTCCGCCAATAAATATAAGACATATTCTTATTTAAATTTTGGTTAATTAAAATTAAATTTATTGAATCAACGTAAACATACGATAAAATAATTATTTAACATCAACTGATCCTCCGAGAGTTGACTTCTCACATCTATAATTTCTAAGAATAAAAATTTAGAAACCACCAAAAAAAGTAAATCATATTCTTATATTCAAGAATATTTTA